CAAATTAAAAAAGATTTGTTTAGAAAGACCACTAAACATCTTTACTTTTGTAACAACCAGAGCTAGTAACTTACTGTAATCTCTAAATTAGAATTCTTAAAATAGGTATTTATAAGCCAAAGTGTAGATATAAGAACTTATAGCTAGCAGCTTACTGTAAACCTTAATCAAGAGTATTAAATATAAATTACCTATAAGCCAAAGTGTAGGCATAAGTAATTCTATCCAGAATTAGATTTTCAATTACACTCAGAACCAGAGAACTTTTAATTAAATATTAAAACTGAGATACTGCTCACAGCATTATATGCATCGAGCCTAGTCTAATAGGATTAATAGTTTTTGCTTTTTTTTCTATTTTATACAATTTGTATATAGTGCATTTCAATAAAATTAAACCAAAAATCTATAAATTTTTATTTTTTTATTATTGCGAACCATTTCATTAATAAATACATTGAAATTGTACTAGAGCAAGAAGTGAAACAGGAAATATATTAATGAAATGTTTCAATGGAAATTTTTTTTTCAATTTATGAAGATATGTATTTATCAATTATTCCAAATCTATAATTTGCAACTATCAATCACGACTGCTAGAATTACCCCAGAAATCATCTATTCTATCTCCTTATTGACAAAAACACTTGCTTATGATATTCTATGCTTATTGCGTGATCTTTATGTCTATTTACAGAATGAAACACTAATGCTCTTCTTGTCAGCAAAGGCTGCATCTAGTTTTAGAATAGCCGAAGCGCGTTTCAGTAGGCGCGCTATACTGTATCGTTCTATTCTGTATATATGAGCTACGTTCATCGTTCGATTGCGATGATCTACATGTGGATAATATAAACAAAAAAAGGTTAATATACAATTAAAATTAATTGAATACATTATTCTCACTGATATTAATGAAAGTTCACATGAATTTACTAAGCTTTATGAAAATCGTTTATAAAAGCATGATTGGAATCAGTCAGGGTATGACTAATAGTTGATTTCTATAATCCACATTATGATATAGACTCGTTTGCGATAATCATCATAAAACGCGAAACATGGTTGATTGTAGTAAAGTTTCTGAATTTTGACAAATTTCAAAATTAAGTCGTTACACTTACATTTGACTAACTTCAACACATTTCATTTCATCATCCATTTCATTTTCATAAGTTTCAAAAGTTGGAGTATCAGGAGAAATGGTATCAAGACAACTGGATGTTTCAGAAGTAACATTATTGGTTAAAGTATAATCATTTTCACTATTAGGTATGTTTGATGTCGGTAATAAAATGTCAATTTTGATTTCAGGGTTTGAAACTTCGGTCTTGCATTTTTTAGGTAATTCATCTAGTGGATGATCGAAAGGTATTGTTCGTTTCCTGGTTTGTTGCGTCGAATGTGAAAGGTCAGATAGCTCAGATTGACTCATCGAATCATCAGAATTAATTTCTTCAGGTTTAAGAGACAACCAAAAGTCAGTAGTAAGTGTCGATTCATCTTCGCCAGTCATCGCGCGTCTTTTTTGTAACACATTGGCAGTTTTACAAGGCATGATTTCTGTGTGATCTGGCCACATTGGATAAAATCGACCAGCAACTTCAGACAAGTCTATATTATACTCTTCATCATCCTCATTCACCGGAAACCACTGATATTTATTATTTTCTAATAAATTTCCTCGATTATACATATCACCTGTTAAATGGATTCCTTTTTTTGGATGTTTATAGATACCAGTAATTTGTAGATATGATCTATGATCAGTCTTTCTACCGTTTGATGATGAGCCTTTTCCTCTTCGAGCACTCTTATCGGGGATCAATCGTACTATATCATCTTCACATAGAATTTCAGCACCAAAGTAGATTGCTCTAAAATGTGTATATTTTTCCATTTCAGCGAAACGTTTCGATTTTGCCTCGTTTGGACCCTGAACATTTGAAGGACGACGATAATCATACTGAGATACTGGAGTATATGTGGTTCCAATATCACGTGCTTGACGTACGGCTTTAATATAAGCAGCAGCAATCTGTTCTGGCTCCGGATTGTCCACATCTATGTCTGATGATATTCTGGAAGCTTTTCGTGTACCCAAAATTTCAGGCCTATAAAGAAGCCAAGGTTGAATCGAATTTATATCAACATCCTTTTGGCCACGTAATATCATTAATTTTATTGTGTAATAATCATTTTCCGGATTTTTACTTCCTAAGGGTGATATTATCTTAGTAATAATTGATGGCCAATATCTGATTGGAGTTTCATTAATCTCGTTGCATTTTGCGAGCATATTCTCATCCAATATCTTTTTTGCATCTAACCACACTATTTCCCCTTCTCTAAATATCGAATTACTAGATATTGAACATTTCTTTTTTTCATACATTTCTTTATCTGAATCATCAGTATCTTCTACCGGTGTTGCGATTTTTTTATCATTTTTTTTTACAGGTCTCATACCGTTTGAAATTTTTGCTTCATTTCACATGGCGTAGACCTATCCGACACAAGCCAATATCAGTAACACAATTTGTCACGCAGATCACGTATATTATAGATCAGATGATCGTCACATTTGGGGGATCGCTAAAGCGGGGCAATTAAAAAAGTTACTTTTTTGATGCAGTTAGGGTAGATGTTTTATTTAAAT